TATGATGGTGATGAACTAACAAATATGCATGGCTGGAAACAAAAAGGAAATACTGGAGCAGAATGATAAAAGAGAAATTGTTTAATGCCATGACGGACATACTGCTAGCGCCTACCTAGGATCTGCCTGGTGATCTTTCTCTCACATTGGTTTCCTCTCTATCTCCTACTTGGCTACTGCCCCCTTGCGCTCTTTAATTAGAAGTTAATATATGAGTTCAGAAATGCGGAGGTAGGAAGAGAGTGGAAGAGTTGAGAACTTGCAATGAGAGGGACTTCTGCTAAATGGGTTGAGTGAAGGTGGAGATATATCTTTTCTGTTGAAGAAAAGATTCTACAGAGGCCATGATTTGTGGAGAGACCAAGATTAAAGGTATGCCATTGTTAAAGGAGAGAGCAACTGAGAAAAGGATGCTATGATTAATTTGTGGATTGTGCATTGTTCTTTAGTAGGTTATGCGCAATTGAACCCAAGTTAATGACTTAATGGAATATCTCGTCATACATGCACTCATTTGACACACGACATAGAGTAGGGAGGCTATGCAGTTGACATTTTAATGTTCACCATTGAAGCCACACATGCTAGTGTTGAAGGGGCCACAATTTTCATTTGAGCGATGCAGTATATGAAATTTTAGCAATCATTTATTTGTACACATTTGTTGAGGCCTTAGATTTTATCTTTAGTAAGGAAAAGAGTTGACATTTTAGTACGTTCTATGGTACCTCTTTACGCAATTAGATAGTTCTGACTAATTGTCTACTTCCACCGCGTAACTTATGATGCTACATTTTTAATTGTTTTTGCCAGAATTCTGCCCCATCTCCATGCAAACACTTGAAGCTCCTGAGTTAGGCTCTGTCGCTGTGCAAACACATACAAGTATAACCGCTGTGTGCGGAGGATCCAGGTTTTGCCGATGAAATTGCTGCAAAGGTTGAGTCATTAAATGGTCTAAAGAGGATCTGATGAATGCTTCAGGTATCACTTCTAAACAACTTTTCGAGCAGGCCATCACATCCAATTCCAATGGAGCATGTGATTTGTGCACTCTTTATGTCTTCTCTTAGTAGTCAACTAATCCTGGGAAAAAGACAAAATGAAATTAGGCAATTAAATAATTAATAATTAATTTGTTAGTATCCTTTACATGTATATATA